GGCGTGTGTCGACCCATTCCCCTATGTCTACGCCTGTCGTGTCGACTACGCGTACGCCCTCGTCTCGCTCATAGCGCTCTCGTGCCCAGAGTGTGCCTTCCCATCTGCAGAAGCCTTGGATTTCGGCTTCGGTTAGCCCGAGCCGGTCGAATGCGTCAAAGAGTCGCTTGTGGTGTGGGAAGCGGCCGAGGCGTTTTCGGTGTGGTTGAAAGGCGTAGTTTAGGCCTGGGTACCGCGCTTCGATTGTGTCGAGCGAGCCGTAGAAGTTTGCTGTTTCGATGCGCACTTCGCCGACGAGGTTTTTGGAGAGGTGCGCGCTGAAGGAGGGAGGGTCTGTGGGCGAGGGTGTGGGGAAGAGCGTGTTGTAGACGAGCACGCTGATGGGGTTTTTGCGGTGCATGGCTGCGGGTGTGTTAAGGCGAAGTTTGTTGGTAGGAAGTGTGCCGCCGTGCGAGAGGGAAGCGTGGATAGATGAGGTGTCGCCGTCGCTCGCAGATTGCGCGTTTGGGTGCTCGAGTGTGAAAGGACAAGGCGGAAAGTGGGTTGTCGCAGAATGTGACCGCCTCACCCGCACCTTCTCTAACTTCCTCCTTACTAAGGGGCCGGCCAGGTGTGTGTGCTGACCTCGGGCGTGACCGCTGTTTCCAAGGTTCCCACGTTCTGACGCCGCCTAGCTCTCCCACTAGCTATCAGACGCTCGTCGGAATGGTGCACACCGGGTACCTGACAGCTGACTCTGCTGTCTTGCGCGTGGAGGTTCCGAAAGTCCCGTGGATGGTAATTTGCAAAATCCCTGAATGCACAGAGGGAATCGCTCGAATCCTATGTCTTTTGCGCTATCCTGCAGATCTTGCGGGCCAGAGGGGAGACCCCGGCTTTTGCTGCGAGATTGGTCGGGAAGGGTCGACGGCGTTTTGCGACGAGAATGCGGCACGGCGACGACGTGGGAAAACGGTGCAGCTAGCCGTCACCACACAACACAAGCTAGAGAAATCTGAAAGTCGAGGCCGGCGAGGAGCAGGGGAAGAGCGAGCAAGATGGGATCAAAGGGGACCAGGCGGGTATAAGACATGCACTCTATGTACTCGCGTCAAGGCTCTCTGCCCTCACCGCCAGCACATGCACGATTATGGCTCGCTATTATTCTGGATCCTCACAGTTGGCCACAGATGTCGCAACAGGGACCAGACCCTGAAGGCCGCTATGCGAAGGCTCACACCGACGATCCCCAGTTTTTGCTCTTTCACCAGACTGACCTCGGCCACCCTATTGAACATTCTGCTCGCCACCTAGCACACCTGCTAAGCAGAAGCGTCGCTGCACCTGTCAAGCCTCGCCGACGGTACGCACGAGAATCGCCGGCCTCTTCGCTGTCAAAGCATGCCTGGTGTAATCCCACCTGCGACGGCGGGTGAGTTGTAACCCAGCGCATGAGAGACCAATAGGTCCGCCCGCCCGCCGATTATCCGGGCCCGAGTATTCGACATGGATGCCGCGGGACGAAGCATGCACGAGGAACGACTGGTCCAGCTCTCTGTTCCACTGCCATGCCTACTGCAGGGTTACTCCAACTTGGCCCTTGCTATGCAGGCCAAGCCTGTGCGACTTGCTAGCATTTCCGTCGTCGCGCTCTTGCCGGCGACGACTTTCTTCCAGTGCGCCACGGAAGCGCATTTGCTATGCAGGGGTGGTGAAGATGTGGTATTTACTTTTTGTTGTTTGAGGGTGTACCATGGAGGGATTGTGGGCGAGATGATATGCCGAGAATCGGACCCCTGCCGTTCCGCCTCGATTGTATCTGGAGCCGATTGGGCAGCCACTTGGATCACGTGGTTGCTGCTGACACATCGAGTCCGCGTACGCCGTGGCTGCCTCATTCCATCTATCCTTCGATCCACCACACCCAACGTTTCTAAGTTTTCATCTGGACCCGTGACGAACAGTTGCCTGCAGCCCTACGGGTCCCAACCACGCCTCATCCGCACCCGTGACAGACTGCTGCCTGCGATCCCTCCGCCTATATAATCCGCCAAACTCTCAGCCTCTTCCTTCCTTCCTCATCCTAGTGCAGGGGTGATTTGCTTACCAGTGAAGATTCGTCTGAGGTAGCAATTTTGCTGGTTTAAAACTACATACATTGACTGCTCTGGTAGGCCTTCTGGGCCTTCCAGGAATTTTTGGAACCCTCTTCGTTGGTCTCGGTAAGCTAGTCGCTACTGGATTGAAGAAGGGGCCGGTGTTGTGCATCCTGCTCGGCTTATCTCAACGCATTCTCGTACAACCCGAAGGTATTCGTACTGCATCGGGGGTCTTACAAGAGAATGGGGCGAATATATATCACTGCGATACCACCAGAGTGGTTTTCGGCCTCCACGCCATGTTCCTGGGGCTCAGACTTGGCGGCGGCACTGCGATAGACGATAGGAGGCTGACATCGCCGCGATAACGGCGCGTTGTATCGTGCGACGATGATCGAGTATAAGGCGCGAACTGTCTTGTACCGCTTTTCAAGTTCTTCGACTTATCCGCCTCTGTCAGCTTTCCAATCTTTTTCTCTCCAATCTACGCGACAGACATGTCTGGTACCCAAGGACCTCCAGCGCCCGACCAGCTCATGGCAGATGGCCGAATCTCCTTCGCTAGCTTTGCGATGACTGAGCTAGTGTCTTTCTCAAACCAACCTCTCACACGCCAATCTGTCTCTCCAATTCCGTCAAGAGCAGAGTCACCTTCCACGATCAACAGCTCGGACTCCATGTCGACTATACAGTTCCAGAAAGGCCCCGCATCCTCCTCAGGCAAGCCATTGCCCGTTCCCACGCAGCCTTCACGTTCTATAGGCTGGTGGTGGGAAGTAGCGGCCTTGTTACTGAGTACTGTGTGCATGGCATTGATCCTGGCTATCCTTTTCACCATGGATGGCAGACCCATGAGAGACTGGAGACTCCCTATCCAGCCAAACTCTTTGATAGCGGTGTTTTCCACCATCGCCAAGTCGGCATTGCTAGTTCCTCTTGCCGAGTGCATCGGACAGCTGAAGTGGACCTACTTTCAGACACCCCAATCGAAGCCTGTCAATCGCCTTTATGACTTCGACGTGGCTACCCGCGGACCATGGGGAGCCTTCACCTTTGTCTACAAGCTACGATTGAAGAAGTCCGCTGCATTGGCGTCTTTTGGGGCAGCTCTGACGATCCTTTCGCTTGGCTTTGAGCCCTTCACACAGCAAGTGCTCAGAGTCTACTCTAAACCAGCACTGCTAGTCAACGCTACCGGAACTGTAAGCTCAAGCAACTCGTTTTCAGACGCATCAAGTATAGAGAAAGCTGATCTCATTGGTATGTCTTTACGTGAATTACAAGTCGTGTTTCACTAACCATATGATAGGCATAGTGCATCCTCTGACCGTCGACTTCACAGACCACGTCGCTTTGCAAGACATCAACCTGCTGAGTAACGTATACTGCCCAACGACAGAATGCAAACTTGATGAGTTCACCTCTCTGGGTCTTTGCGAGTCCTGTAGCTCGGAAGATGTTACTTTCGATGGCGATTTCTGGAACGGCGGTAACCTCACAGATGAAGACTTCCGGGGATGTGGTAATTCTGTAAAAGCCAGTGAAAATGCAACCTACCAACACTTTTACCTCAACTATACCGCGATGACAGATTATGTTGCAGCCACGCAGCCTTATGAGTGGGGGAGAACGTGCCATCTCAAGAAGTCAGGGTATCCGCAATTGGTGCTCTCGATTAGCGCGAGCCGCTACCTCAACGAGAGCTATCCCAAAATTACCGCTCTTGACCCGATCATTACCGCATCTGGCGGCTATCAATTCGGTATCATCCGCTTAGAACGCAGCAAGATCTATGGAACATACAGCCTCTTCTCTGCGCCGGATGGCAGTCCAATATTTGTTTTATCGACTGAGTTTCCACCACAAATTGAGTACTGCATAGGAAACTTTGAAGGTTACGACGTCGCGAGAACCGAACCTTTCAAACTACCGCCACAGGCTATTTCCGCATTTACTTGCTTTAAGTCGACATCTAACCTCGTTCGTGTTAGTGAAACTGATAGACTCGGGGTGGTAAACGGAACGGTATCTCACTGCCAACTCAGCTATTGTGCGAAGCGCTATCACAATATCACGGTACGGAATACCGTCGTAAACTACGGCTCGGTAGAAGAGTTCCCACTGATCCCGACTGGTGACGACCCCTACAAGGTGGCGATTGGATATGATCAAGCATTCCGTGTAGAGGACCTGAAAGAGACATTTTACCTTGGCAACTATTCGCGCCACTGGCTCGCCGCTTCCACGTCGCGTATCCTCAAATCTACGACGTTGAGTACATACTTTTTCGAGTATTTTCTACACCATACATGGTCATATTTCTTCCAAGGCCTTGCGCAAGTAGGAAGCAAAGTCATACAAGGCCCCGGCAACTCCGCGGCTATCAACAACACCAGTGAAGCTTACGGACCGGACATCTTTGTTGATGTAAGATGGGCCTGGCTTGCGTATCCGCTGGCGCTTCTCGTTTACTCTGCGCTGTTTCTCTCTTTGACGGCGCTGGGTAGCAGAAGACGCTCCTATCTCTTCAAGAACTCGATACTGGCTGTGCTTGTTCACGGACTGGAGGGCTGGAACGCTGCGGATTGTCCTGAGCTACTTACGGTGGCGAAGGAGAGGAATAGTGACCTGAAACGAGCTCTGGGACCGGCGAAAGCGTCTCTCGCTGAAAATGAGGATGGCTTACTGAAGCTCAAGCGTGACTAATTCTCTCACCCAAAGAGACCAATACGGCAGGCGCGACTTGAGGTCGCTCTCACCTTCACTTTGGCTCTCACCTCGCGCTAGCCCCGCGCTCGGACCGTTGTTTGCCTAAAACTGCAGTACCACCCAGCGTCAACTTCGTTCTGCACCCTTTCTCCAGCGTTAGTTAACACCCAGCAGCATCTCGGCTTGCTGCGATCACTCGACCGGCAGTACAAGATGGCGATCGCTGCCATTATCGAAATCCCCAAAACAAGGTCGGGCGCTGCCGATCCGCGTGCGGGCAGCTTCGTCACTGTCTTACCGCCTGAGATCCGCAACCGAATCTACGAGTACCTTTTCAAGAGCGACACACCTGTGCTTCTAAACGACGATCAGGTGCGCCTGGATCCTTCGGCTAGAAATTACGTCACTCACCCCACGCATGGAGGTGATGAGCAACAAGACAGCGACGAGGACTTTCGTCATGGCTTTGATGGCTTTCATGGCTATGTTGGGCTTCTGCTGTCATGTAGGCAGGTCTATCATGAATCAGTCAGTATCCTCTACGGCCAGAACACTTTCTTCTTCTCCCGATTCCTGGATCAGCAGATGCACTTTACCTGCACATGGCTGTCAAATATCGGCTCAAATTATCAGCTCTTGTCTCATGTGCACATAGACACGTATGCGCTTGTTCCAAGACGCGTTCGAGAAGATGATCTGCTACCGCTGTTGAAGCTCATCTGGAACTACCCTCAGGCCAAATGTGAATTTACATTCGTGATCTCCGGAAGTTCATCATCCAGGGGACGAAATCACGACACCGAACTCCACGAACCAGTCACTTCCGCGGATGTTCTGAATGGTGTCCTCTTCTCGTTGGGCGCCACAGACGCTCTAAACCTTAGGCAGTACGCCAAATACTCTGGCCTGATGTCAGCGATAACAGTCTGGTACACTGGAAAAGGCTATGTTGGATACGTTCGATACACTGATGTTGATAATCCGCACCCGCCCAGAGTATTCGACATCTTAGACCGTGGTTTCAAGGTCCAGTGGGCAGAAACTGAACAGGCGAACCTTCTGTCCTTGCCTCAAATTCCCTTATCGATCATCAATAAGTACGCAAACGCATCGGATACAGGTGTGGTATTCGACCTGGACATCGAGAAGGCCCGAGGCTATCGCGTCGGTCTCAGCGGAGTCAATGACTTTTTGCGCTACGAAGTCGACCCGATAGCTAACCGAGTGTACGACGAGGTCGTCATTCGTATGTCTATTCAGGAAGCTACGACAGACTTTCACAGCTTTAAGCCACTACAAAAGCTGTTTCGCGTGAACAGATTCGAAAGTTTGGTCGATCCGATTGATTGCATAGAGCAAGGGTGTTTCATCAGAATGGAGCTGACGTTCAGGCTCTCTATGCCAACTTCAACCACGGACCTTCGTATAAACATCGATGAGCTTTTGGATGGGTTGAAATGCCGTATTGGAGATCTTATCATCACTGTCCAGGAAATGGATGGCGGCATGAGGGGCACACGGCCCATCGTTTGGGACCATCTTCAGTGTGCAGTATTTCTTTTGCTATCGGATATTCTAGAGCACTATCCTTCGCAAGCCATGCGGCCTCTTCCACAGATATGGATCAACGGTCACGGTGCCGTTCTGTGTGCCGAATACCCCGCCACGGCCACCTCCAAGGAGAAAATCATTCCCTATGCACCGACTGCCGATGACCCGGCCCTCATTCAAGCTCAAGGCTATCGCAAGATCAAGAGGCTTGTGCTAGGTCATACATTGAAGGACCTTGCGGGTATTGACCAGGAAGATTTCTCGGATACTAGTATCCTGGTCGGTTTGTGGTACTACTTACGGTTCTATCTTTGGATGAACTGGCGAGAAGTAATCCTTTCGATCGAGTTGTAAGGCCGCCGAAAGTGTCACATGAAGGGAAACAAATGCCTGAACTGAGGAATTACCCACAGACAGCCGATGCGAGTAGCAGAGTCGGAGAAAAGTACCTGGTAGAGACCGCGGCATCTCACAGAGATGATTCAGCGAGTTGTTCTGAGTGAAGAACTCGGCACCAAATGGAATTAACGTCTCTGAAGTGGATTTTGCAGGAACTGGAGACGTTTTGGACTACAAGCAGGCCATATTACATGTGCATAATGCAACGAGGGGTATTGCACATGCCTGGACTGGAAAGCATGCGAGCAGCCTTCTCTCAAAAAGCACATAGTAATCTTGATTTCAACAACTACATAACTTCCCCATCCCTACTAACAGTTCCTCGAGCATCCAAATGGAAACGGAAGAACAGCCGGACTCTTATATCCTCCCTTCCCCACACTCCTCACCCCAAAGATAACATTATCCTTATGAATCGTCGCCGAAGTAAGGTTAAACCAATTCACATTCCCCACCTCAATAACATTCGTCCAATGCGGCTCAATCGTATCGCGATACAGAATCTCATACCCCTCAACCGGCAGTCCCGTGGGCGCATCCCACTTGAACTGGCTGAAGTTATCGGACGTCGTGGTATTGATACCAACATTCGTTGGCTCACCAGGTGCGTTGGCTAAACTCCACATAGTGGATGCTACGACCTTGGCGGCACGCGTGTTGTACTCAAAGTCTAGCCATTCGACTAGATCGCCGTATTGCTTTCCGTTTCGCACGGTGACGTTTTGGTGCTGTTGCGTGTAGTCCTCGTTGGGCTGGACGAAGCGAACGCCTGTGTAGCCTGCTTCGAGGAAGGGGCGGTGGTCGCCGCCTCTGCTGTATCTGTCGAGGCGGTAGATGAGGCGCACTGTCATCTCCGTGAAAGCATTCGATGCGACTTCGTAGATAAAGCGACCCAGGTTGCGAGCAGGACTGTCGTTGTCGCCGCCGATGCTAAGACGCGATGTCATCTTTGTGGAGTTCTCAGTCAGAGGCGTGCCTTGGCAGAAAAGTCGAATGTTGTACGGATCGATGGTACCGTCGGAGGCTTTGGAGTTGCCGACCATGTCGAGATTGATCATGCCTGCTACATTCACGGATGCATTCTTGTAGGTTTGGGCGAGGTTCTCGGCGCCGAGGAGACCTTGTTCCTCGCCGGCGAAGGCTGTGAAGACGATGGTTGTCTTGGGCCTGTAGTGTGCAAAAATACGGGCGAGTTCCAGGGAGACTGCGACACCTGAGGCGTCGTCTACGGCACCGGGTGCGTCGCCTTGGTAGTCGATGGGGTCGCTGTTGCGCGAGTCATAATGCCCGCCTGTTACGTAGACGCGATCTGGGTCCTCGCTGCCTTTGAGTGTTGCGACGACTGTTGTGATGTTTACTGGGAAGATGATGCGCTCGTTGTCTCCAGGGTATTTGATGAAGCTGTTCCAGTCTACAGTCATCCTTCCCTCGCTCTCATCTGCCGCTTCTTGAAATTTAGCCGTGAGCCATGTTCTCGCAGCGCCGATGCCTCGGTTGGGGTCAGTTTGGCTGGATAGGGTATGACGCGTGCCGAACGATGCAAGCTTTCTGATCGTAACTTCGATGTTGTCGCGCGATATTTGCGAAATGATGTCCTGAAGGTCTTCATCCGGCATCTGTTGCTCTAACGCCTTTCCAACGACGGGCAATGGCCATTGTTGCGCACTCGGGAATGACTGGTGAGGATGATGTGCGTGGATAGGTGACGAGAGAGCTGTCTGCAGCAGTGTTGCCGCGCAGACCGCGAGGATGGATGTGGACCGCATCTTGATCGATCTAGGCAATTGGCTTGGACGATACAAGAGATCTTACTCAAATCTTCTATTCCTACCTTTTATACTCCACCATTTTCGCCATCCCACTCTTCGCGACAGGCTGTCGACTGCCGGTATCTCCAACATCTCGCGATACCGCAGTGACTGCCGTCATCGGAGAAATGCAACTCTTGCTATCATGGCTTTCGCGAGCGCCGATCTGTATCGTAATTGGAAGCTCGTAATGCTACCAAGACGCCAGAAGGAGAATTAGGGAAGACTTCAACAGCTTTGCTGCATGCTCAGCTTGGCAACGGGTACTGTGTGCGGGGTTCTCCATCGAGCTTCCGAACGTTTGCGATAGCAACGGTCATTTTCCGGAAGGAAAGACTATTAGTAAAGCGACTGCGGCATCGCGACGCCTTCCATTCTCTGTTGGCTGGTAGTCCAGTCGCGCTGGTAGTGCTGGTGTTAGTTATCTTCCGAGGTGGCTGGGAGCCAGGGGCCTTGGTCATGCAACTTGAGTCCTACTTCGCGAACAGCGCATGTTCATCGAGTGCGCCACCTTTGTAGAACTTGGTACACATTTCGTAATGGGTGTTTGGAGAGCGCATCCGCTAGGTCAGTCGAAATCGAAGGGACAACATCTCGACACGATAGCAAAGATGGCGCCATGATGGCGCTAAAGCTTGGCGTGACATCATACATCATCGCATTGACTGGAGAAGCCACCAAATTGCGACAATGCGACCCGACGACAATGACATTCCTCAAGCACAAGTCTCTGTCAGCAGAATTTATGATTATACACCCAAAATATGCAGCAGCGGCTGCTTCCCGGCGCTGTATCGAAGATTTCTCACTGATCGACGCCTCGTAGCGCCGCAACATGCTTGACATGCCTCGGCTGCACGAATCGTATCGTCGATGGTTCTCACGTTGCGCAGCATTGGCCGTGTACATGTTCTCTATTCGTCCTGGGAATCCCATGTCTACCCCACGTGTTTCGAGATATCCGGTGGTACCTGGGGTTCATGAACGTGCTAACTCCAAAGAAGAAGGTAACAAGACTGGCAGCAACACCAAACACGGAGTGAAAAGCCAAACTAGGAGTACACAATAAAGGCCCGATGCATCACAATGCATGTCATTTAAAGCGTCGGACAGGAACTAGGCAATCACTGGTCAACGTGAACGGATCAGGTGTAGCCATTGGGTGTCGACGGCGGTAAACAAGAACAGTCCAGCTTAACGAAGCGGAGGAGGAAATTGAACTGGTAGAAATAGGCATGTAGGTAAGGTCTGATGACATGGCTTGCCAATGTACTTGCAAGAGACGATGCAGTAGCGCAGGAGATGGTACTGAAGTGGTTATGGCCACATTCGCTATGCTTCGGTAGAACGATGGCTCAGGATACAAAAGGTCAAACATTCCACCTAATCTTAGTGGATCATCGCTACCCGCCTCTTCAGACTTCCTTCGTTTCAACTCGGCCGGTCTCGACAATCGCTCAACATGAAGACTTGCGCTCGCTCCCTTCTTGCCCTTGCGGCTATCCTCACCACTGCCCTCGCTGCGCCAACGCCTGCGAGCGGAGTGAGCTTCCCCATCACTGACCTCCTCGACAAAGACCTCACTGTCGAGGAGTACGCGGCACAGCTTGAGAACCAGGACGTTGAAACACGTGACCTTACCAAGCGCCAGTTCAGCGGAGACACTTACAACCAACTGACTGACGGTACTGCCTGCCGTCGCGTAACTGTCATCTACGCTCGTGGTACTACCCAAGGTAAGATCTCTCCACTGATCGTAGGCGAGTTGTATATTGATACCTCTTCTAGCCGGTAATGTAGGCGAGGCCAACTCCGAAGGCCCAACCTTCTTCAATGCTCTGGCTGCGCGTGTCGGAGGAGCTAGCAACTTGGCCATCCAAGGCGTTACCTACCCGGCTAATGTCATTGGCTTCTTGGCTGGAGGCGACGCCGCGGGTGCCACCACTATGTTCAACTTGATCAACCAAGTGAGTGTCATTGTCCTTACTGAGATTCCGGCAGGATGCTGACTGACCACCTAGGCCATTACACGTTGCCCCTCAACTAAGATCGTCGTCTCCGGATACTCCCAGGGCGCGCAGCTTGTGCACACTGCTACACAGAGGCTATCAGCCTCGGCGGCCTCGCGTGTCACCGCCGTTGTAACATTCGGCGATGCTGACCGTGACGAGTCTTTCGGCTCTGTTGCTGCTAGCAAGGTTCTCATCATCTGCCATGCCGGTGACAACATCTGCGACAACGGTATCATCATCACTCCTGAGCATAGGAACTACGAGATCGATGCTCCTACTGCTGCCGCTTTCGTTGCCGCACGCGTTTGAGGTCGAAGTTGAGGGTGGCTGGAAGTACGATTATACACGATTAGTTTAATGGTTACGAAAATTTACGCTGGATTACCTGTTGCACAATTGTTCTTTGACCTTGACTTCCTTCTCTTTCTAGTGAATGGGAGATACTTTCGAATATTGCCAAAGCAAAGGTACAGATTGACGCAACAACATAGAATAGGAAAGGAAGTCTAGTCGCCGGGAACATAACGACGGTCTATGTACAAAGAAACTATCTGTTCTCCGTCGAGGAGCAGTAATAGAGCGGCGAAGAGACGTTCGGGCTGCAAGGGCTGGAGAGAGTTGAGTATCGGTAACGGTGTGTGTAATCGATGGGCACATATAGACTTTAGAAGGCAAGACGCCCGACAAGTTGTTGTGGTCCTTGTACTCCCCGTCTCGCCGTCCGCGGGTGTCAAATGCTCTGCCGCCTTCAGGCAAACCCAACATAACGTGCTTTCCGCATCTCATGTCGAAATAGCGCATCCAATGCAACCTTTCGCGGAGGATTACCATCAAACCGACGGAAACCGCACCATACTTGGCAAGCCACAGGAAAACTCGAGTGAAGTCATAACCCAAAGGGTCCGACCCGTGGACGCTTGGAGCGCAGGCCGCCACGCGCGAGTCATTTAGTCATTTAGCGCAGATGTCGTGCTCGCCCCATAGAAAACACCAAACGTCTCGATTGCGGTGATTGCCTCAACGTCCATCACTAAGGGAGAAAAACTGGATACCAAGCTCGCCAAGCATCGCGGTGTCGTCCGAACTCTTAAGATATGTAGTCTCCACGTTTGACTGAGGTTCTTCACCTCATCCC